TGTGTGTGTGTGTGTGTGTGTGTGTGTGTGTGTGTGTGTGTGTGTGTGTGTGTGTGTTTCCTATGTATGAATCATTGTTGCAAGCATGAACAACATTGAGTGATTGCATAATGTGTACATATCTAGCCACGCCCCTTCCCTGCTCACACGAAATGATGCACATACACAGCCACGCCCACAGCCACGCCCACGCCCACGCCCACTAAGGTCAACTCACGTGACGGATGAGTCTGCCAAGCTTGAAGAGGTTGCCCTTGAAGCCTTCGATAGAAGTGATGAATTTAGCATCAGTTGCCCTCTGAGGGATCGTTTGCATCAACTCATAGGCTCGTTGGAGGTCAGTTGTGTCGTCCCCGAGTCTCGAGCTGAACTTGACCAGCTCCTGCAAAGTCATAGGTCATTGTTGTTGCAACCCGCTCTCGCACACAACAGTACATATGTGACTTATTGCTTATAGTCAATATGTGGCTTATTAATAAGTTCTTATGTGGTATATTCCAATATATATATTTTGTTATCAAGGTATAAACTCTACCTATCGATTTGCTCTACACCAGTTTTTATATTTGGATTTTTTCAGTTTTATTAAACAATAGAGGTTTTATACAAAATTTTACAATATCCTGAGTTACTTTACAATTTATTTAAATATTTTAGTTCTGTTTTATTATTTTTATAAAACTGTAATATCAATATAGGAATAGGTTGAGTACTATTGTAATTAAGAAGCAATAAGATGCTAATCTTAACATACTAAGAAGGTTAGGTTAAGTCAGTGTTTTCTATTCAGCTTTTCAAGGTAAACTCAAATATTCACAATAAATTAGTATGTCACATATGCACTTATTAATAAGCCAAATATTGACTATAAGCAAGTGCGAGAACGGGTTGTGTTTGACACGGGTGTAGAGGCAGGGATTAGACGATAGGTCACTACTTGACACTAGGGCTCAGAGGAATAGTCAAGTTCACCGCTACAGGCAACAAGTGTCAGAGTGGATACATAAAAATACAGGAAAGTACCAAAGAATACATGATACAGCAGAACTTACAGTACTCATAATAATGATACATATGTATACATAAAACCTGATCAAGATTTTAAGCAAAAAAAAGATACATATACACAAATCTTAAGCAAATTATGGGTGTACGGGATTGTGGTAGTACCGGAAGATAGTGGTAGTTAATACGTGTGTGTACGGGATTGTGGTAGTACCGGGAGGTACTGGAAGGTGTAATAGGTAGTGAGTAATAGGTAATGAGGTATGTCGTACCCTGAGGCCCAGGGGCCAGATTCACGAAAGCACTTACGTAAGCACTTACGAACCTGTACATCTTTTCTCAATCTTTGGCGGCTTTGTTTCCAATTATTAAACAGTTTACAAGCATGAAAACTTCCCAATCAACTGTTGTTATTGTTATAAACAGCCTCCTGGTGCTTCCGAGCTCATTAACTGTTTAATAATTGTAAACAAAGCCGCTAAAGATTGAGAAAAGATGTACAGGATCGTAAGTGTTTGCGTAAGTGCTTTCGTGAATCTGGCCCCCAGGTTTTCGACAAAAAAGTGTACTCAATAAGTGTTGTGTGTACTCATAAAGATCGTGTGTCGGGACAAGAAGCGTGTGTGTATGTGTACTCAGCCAAGGGTGTAGGCGACAGGTCGTACCCGAAGAAGGAGCTGGTAGTCGTTAAGCCGCTGAATGGGTAGTTTAAGATGTTCTTGAAGACGCTTGTCGTCTCCGAGTCGTTGACTGTAGTCCTGTAGTTAAGGAAGAGAGAGAGAGAGACCGCTCGTTAGTATAATATTGTATTCCTCCGTGGTGGTGGTTTCTGGTGGTTTAGTAGTTTGTGGTAGTTTGTGATGGTCGTTTATCTCGTGTGCTTATGTGTAACGTTAATACATATACATATATATGTATATGAATGTTTTAATACAGGTATACATATATAAACTCTAAACACAAGAGAAAATATGTCAATTCACATTTTTAATAAATTTCAAAGTAAAGATATTTGTATACTTGATATACGACATTCGTATATAAAGATAAAGATATGTTATCTTTACTTTGTATATATATAAATTAAAGATAATTCGTATATACTTCAATTTACGTAAATTGAATATATTATATATTCGTAAATTAAATATATTAATGTTCAATTTATGAACATTAATAACAGTATGGCGATACTTTATTAATTAATTACAAATGCGTGTTAATTTTTATTTGTTATTTTTAAAATAATTTTTGTCTTTTCTCTAATTTTTACAACAAAAATTTGGCCAATTGCATTTTTTCTTTATGTATCTGTTTTATTATGTTGACTTTATTCATAACTTTATTATTAACTTTTAATAATTCCGGTTTGTATTACAGTGTTTTGTTTTATTTTTTCTGTATTACTAATTTTCGTCTTTATTTGATTTCGTTTGTAAAGTTTTCTTTACAAACGATTTATCAATTTTCGTTGGTGAGGCCGATAAGCTAAGCATTAAGCCACATATGCACAATTGTATAGTACATTTCTGCACATATTTACACATTTTATCTCTCACTATTATGGCCGTTAAACCTGTCACGAGCTGTGATAAATATTATTTATTTAATTATATTTAATTAACTTTTAAATGATTAGAATTAGCGCGGAGTTTCATGTGATTCATTTATATTAATCAATTAATTAGGAAGCCTTTGATCGCACAAAACACGCTTAACTGAGCTTGATTTTAAAATTTTGGTAAAAAAAAATGTAATGCCCACTTTTGTAATTGCAGGAGTGACAGGAGACAGCATATATATACTCTCTCACACTTCACTATCATCACCATCACTGGCCTCACTATCTCTAGCTCAAGACACATGACGGCTGAGTGGACAGCGTTCGGGATTCGTAGTCTTGAAGTTCCGGGTTCGATCCCCGGTGGAGGCGGAGTCAAATGAGCAAAATGTTTCTTTCACCTCTGATGTACCTGTTCCCCTAGCAGTAAATAGGTACCTGGGAGTTAGACAGCTGTCACGGGTTGCTTCCTGGGGGTGGAGGCCTGGTCGAGGACCAGGCCGCATGGACGCTAAAGCCCCGAAATCATCTCAAGATAACCTCAAGATAACCGGTAGGCAAGGGGACACTTAGTGAAAAGCTCGGTGGAATCACCGTAGACTTTCACGTTCTACCAATATTGTCAGTTTGCCAGGATCAGGTTGGGTTACCGTTACCTGTGGCAGGTGGCTACCGTTACCTGTGGCAGGTGGCTACCGTTACCTGTGGCAGGTGTCTACCGTTACCTGTGGCAGGTGGCTACCGTTACCTGTGGCAGGTGGCTACCGTTACCTGTGGCAGGTGGCTACCGTTACCTGTGGCAGGTGGCTACCGTTACCTGTGGCAGGTGGCTACCGTTACCTGTGGCAGGTGGCTACAGTTACCTGTGACAGGTGGCTACCATTACCTTTGACAGGTGGCTATACCGTTACCTGTGGCAGGTGGCTATACCATTACCTGTGGCAGGTGCCTATACCATTACCTGTGGCAGGTGGCTACCGTTACCTGTGGCAGGTGGCTACCGTTACCTGTGGCAGGTGGCTACCGTTACCTGTGGCAGGTGGCTACAGGTGACGGATCTCCCAATCCTGAGCACTCCAGGTGCAAACTCTGTGAGCAGGAACTACGGCACGATCTCCCACACTACATCACTGAATGCCCAGTTATTAGACCATTCAGACCCGTTGGCATGAGGTACCTGGAGCTTTGCAATTACTTTATTCACTCTCGTGTTCTTGAAGATAAACCTCTTCATTAGGCTCTGTTCGACGTGTCATATTGCCTCGTCCGAGTTCGTATATCTCCGTCTCTTGATGCTCCTCTCTACAATGACCGAGTGGGGCAGGATTCGAACGTTCGAATTCTTGGCTCGACCCCAGACCCGGCAAATGACCTTGTCCAAGGCAGTCAACCCCAGGGCGCCCCGGCTGGCTATGTGACTTTTCTTCATTTTGTAAAGATATTTGTAATACATATTCATACAATTTCATGACATCTGTATATATATATATATATATATATATATATATATATATATATATATATATATATATATATATATATATATATATATATATATATAAGGGTTTCTTCGAGCATTAAAATAACTTGAGGGTAAAGGCTGCCAAAGTATATATATTATATTCTAATCTGGTATATATTATAGGACCAACATATATCAGAAGACGAAGCTAAAGTTGTCATCGTCGTTATTAGCTGACAAAGCTAATAACGGCGGTGACCTTCCTTGGGTTCGAACACCGCTGGCGGCCAGCAGCACAGCCAACCAATATAGCCAACCATTAACAAGGTAACCCGATACCCGACCAAGATATTCCCGGCCGGCTATCTACTCTCTCACATCTACCCGTTATCTACTAATACCCCCCCCCCCCCCACAGTGTCTTCACCATAATTAGGATAACCGGAGCGGCGTGATGTGAATACCATTAGCGCCGTTATGGAATAGAGAGAATGGGATGGGGGGGGAGGGGGAATGGTTTTGAGGTGTGGGGGGAGGGGGTGTGGGTGTTGGTAAAGGGGGGGAACCCGGTTCTGGCAACGATTTCTGGCTCCGCTGCCAGACGTACGCCTTAGTAACTCTATATCCCGGCAGCAAACACATTCCTGCTATCCACACTGTAATCCACACACACACATCCGGGGTATCTGTCCACTATGTATGTGTATAATATAATATATATATATACTTTCTGCCGCCCTCACAACATAATAAATTAAATGCAATGCCGTAATGATAAATGGAAATCAATCATGGTGTAATAGCAATGTTGGAAACAAAATTATCAGATATTAAAGAAATGTTCTCGCGGGATATTGGATTACAAGGAAAGAATGAGAAGACAGGTGAATCGGAAAGATATGCAGTTTCGCGTAAATTAAAGGATTAATGTTAACATAGTAATAGAAGCTAATTTATGACAATGGTTTACAGTTCCCAGTTAAACGACAGAAGACCAAGTCAGAAGTATGAAAGCAAAACACGACACCAAAAGTATCATCCAGTGTGAGACGCAAAGGTCTACCTTGGAGGAGGAGGAGGAAGTGTGAGACGCAAGGGTCTGTCTTGGAGGAGGAGGAGGAAGTGTGAGACGCAAGGGTCTGTCTTGGAGGAGGAGGAGGAAGTGTGAGACGCAAGGGTCTGTCTTGGAGGAGGAGGAGGAAGTGTGAGACGCAAGGGTCTGTCTTGGAGGAGGAGGAGGAAGTGTGAGACGCAAGGGTCTGTCTTGGAGGAGGAGGAGGAAGTGTGAGACGCAAGGGTCTGTCTTGGAGGAGGAGGAGGATGTGTGAGCCGCATGTGTCTGTCTTGGAGGAGGAGGAGGAAGTGTGAGACGCAAGGGTCTGTCTTGGAGGAGGAGGAGGAGGAAGTGTGAGACGCAAGGGTCTGTCTTGGAGGAGGAGGAGGAAGTATGAGACACAAGGGTCTGTCTTGGAGGAGGAGGAGGAAGTGTGAGACGCAAAGGTCTACCTTGGAGGAGGAGGAGGAAGTATGAGACGCAAGGGTCTGTCTTGGAGGAGGAGGAGGAGGAAGTGTGAGACGCAAAGGTCTACCTTGGAGGAGGAGGAGGAAGTGTGAGACGCAAAGGTCTACCTTGGAGGAGGAGGAGGAAGTGTGAGACGCAAAGGTCTACCTTGGAGGAGGAGGAGGAAGTATGAGACACAAGGGTCTGTCTTGGAGGAGGAAGGAACGGTAACTATCAGGGGAAAGCACCAAACCATTGCGACTATATAGCACTGGGAAGGGGTCAGGATAAGAATATGGGATGGGACAGTGGGTGGAAAGGAATGGTGCTCCAACCACTTGTGGACAGTCGGGGATTGAACGCCGACCTGCATGAAGCGAGACCGTCGCTGTACCGTCGTGCTGCACAAGTTACTGAGAGGAAGTACAAGATGCAACAGAAGCAAGGAGCGGGAGAGACAAGCAGATCTTGTAGCCACTCAACATTACGTACTGAGCATATGCAACTTCTCCCCCCCCCCCCCACCACCCCTCAACCACTTGAGGTGGACGGTAGATCGATAGTCTCGTTTCAAGCAGGTCGGCGTTCAATCCCCGACCGTCCACAAGTGATTGGGCACCATTCCTTTCCCTCCGTCCCATCCCAAATCCTTATCCTGACCCCTTCCCAGTGCTATATAGTCGTAATGGCTTGGTGCTTTCTCCCTGATAATTCCCTTTCCTCCCCCCCCTTACCCCCCTTCCCTCCCTCCCATTCCCCCCCCCCCCCCACGTAGTACCACCAACCACTTTCCGACCAATCAGAGGCGCCTTGAACAAAAAAAGCTACAATAAACTGGATTACCAGAAAGGGAAGTCTAACAATCTTAGGTAACTTTTCTCGGGTCTACAATGGGCGTCTTAATTTAGAGGCAGATTATTACAAGGAATGATAGAGTATGTTGACCAGACCAGACACTAGAAGTTGAAGGGACGACGACGTTTCGACGACGAATCGACTTGAGAATGGTCCAGGACGGACCGAAACGTCGTCGTCCCTTCAACTTCTAGTGTGTGGTCTGGTCAACATACTTCAGCCCCGTTATTGTGACTCATCGCCTGCATAGAGTACGTAATTAAGGAGTTTACACCAAACGACCGTAATGGTCCCAAGGACCCGTAGACCAGAAACAAAAGACCGTGGATCAAAAGTCACGTCTTGAAAGCAACAGAACAAAAAAAACAAAGATCAGTTG